AACCCAAATGAAGTGAGATACCATAGAATGGTACTTTTCTCTTCAGAAAGTACTTTTTAGTTTTTAATCTTAAAAACTGAGACAAAAACGAAAGTATTTTTTTAATATTTTAAAATTTTTATTTTTTACCAACATTTTCTTATGAGTGTATTTATATCACAAACGACACTATCTTGATCTATACAATAAGTTATAAATTAAAAAAAAAAAAACAAAACTGTTTTCTATTTTAAACACATTTTGAATCATTTTCTGTTGCTTTCATAATGAAACTAGTTAAAAATTTAAATATAAATATTCAATGAATTTGAGAATGAATGAATCAAAACTGAATGAAACATTAATAATACAAAATTATTTTGTATTAATGATGGGAAAGAATGAATGAAAAAAAAAAAAATAAAAGTATGAATTACCTAATTTGTAAATATATTTTAATTAATTACAATAAATTTATCAATAAAAAAATATATTACAAAATTAATAAAAAAAAAAATCAACGTAAAGTTATATGAATGAATCGTATAATAATGTTTATTTTAATGATTTGTTAAGTCATTAAAATAATTTTTATTTGAGTGGAAATTGTGTTTTTTTTTCTTGTTTATTTCTCATGTGAATCAATTAATTTTATTATGTATTTTGTTAAAATAAAAATTTATTTGTTTTTTGTCGTAATTATCTTTATTTTTTTTCAATATCATTTCTCTTTATTGTTTTTCAATTTATTTGTTTGCGAATAATTTACATTCAAAGTTATCAGTGGTTTCTAATATAATTTTTATATATGAAAATAAAACTTGCTTGACTTTTATTTTTCATACATTAAAATGTCGTTAATTTCAGTTTTGCAGTGGGATATTTTATTTTTTTGCTAGAAGAATTAAATTTATATAAGAAATATAAAAAATTTCTAGATTTTAACACCTGATTAGCAATTTTAATGAACGTTTTTATGATCGATTAAAAACAAATTGAATTCTTTTTATTAATTTTATATTTGCATTTTATGTGAATATTAATTATAATAAAAAAAGTATGTAGTAGTAGATATTTGGTGAATAATAGAAGCGATTAGTAGAAATTTCATATAAAAGGGTTTTATAGTTTAAGTCGGATTTTGTCAGGAAATTGTTTTGTTTTTTCAGTGAAAGTTCGTTTTTATTGTGAAAATCTAGTTTTTTAAGTGAAAGATCGAATTCAGATTTAAAAAAACACCATTTCAGGTAAAAACTTAAATTTTAAGTAAAAAACGCATTTTAATCAAACACATCGCATTTTAAGTTTTAGTGAAAAATTAAATTTTTTGTAAAAAATTGGATTTTCAGTGAAAAACTAAATTTTTAGTGAAAAATTGGATTTCTAATGAAAAATTGAATTTTTAGTGAAAAATTGGATTTCTAATGAAAAATTGAATTTTTAGTGAAAAAATTTAATTTTTAGTGAAAAATTGAATTTTTCACTAAAAATTAATTTTTAGTGAAATATTGATTTTTTAGTGAAAAATTTAATTTTTAATAAAAAATTTAATTTTTAATGAAAAATTTTATTTTTTTAATTATTTTAAAAATTTTATAATTTTCTCAAATTTTCATGCATTTAGAAAACTAACGAAAGTAACTCTTTCGAACTGTCATACTGCACTTACTTTTTGATCTTTATGATCCTTATAATCTGACAGAACATCTTAAAATATTAAAGCTTGAAATTTTTTTATAAAAATCTGTCATCGATACGTGGAAACTGAACCGATATTTTATCTCAAAATCGTATTCGGTGATTAATCTCAAAACATAAAATTATCGCATATAGAATGACATTACTCTACAACAGACCCTATAACTCCATTATACATTATCGGATCTTATTTCTTCAAAAAATAAACCGGAGCTCACTTTACGGTCAATGGAGATCGTTACCGCACATTCATCCAGGCGAGATGCAGTTTTAACGGTACAACTGTACGTGCAAGGAAACCATCCATTTATTGAAATCAAGATTTGGAGATAACTTGATTTTGGGAAATATCTTTCAAGATCGTGTAAATTGACCTCTCGATTAATACCTTTGGGTCTTGCAGAAGTCGCTAGTTTATGCTGCTAAACCAGCAACAATTGACGCTTTAAAGGGTAACATTCGTTCGTGTTATTCATACGACTCGCGAAAGTGACGAAAATTGAACGTCCAGAATGCGCTTCGCCCAAAACAGCAGCGGTTACCATGTGCCCGAAATGATTTTCAATTGTCATTCATATTTTTGTAAAATATTTTCACAATTTCAAGATCATTTTACAAACAAAGTCCATCTGAAAATGAAAAAAATAGTGAGCGACAAAATTAGGTAAACACTAGAGATTTTTTATACCTTACACCCCTATTGAGAGGATAGGGTGTTATGCGTTTGTGCTGATGTTTATAACACCAAAAAAAATTGGTTCGACACCTACCTTAAAGTATACCAATCTGCTCGATTTAGCTATGTCCGTCTGTCCATCCGTCTGTGTGTTTGATGAAATGTGACACATACTCTTCTTTTGGACCAAGGACACAGCCTATTGAAAATGGTCAAAATCGGTGCATTATTTCGTATAGTCTCCATAAAACCGTACCCCCCGAATAGGGCTTTTGAGCTCATAAATATGTTAAATGTTCTTGTATAACTTCAAAAATCGGAAAAACTTAGTTTTATATAAGTCTTAATGATACTGTTGATTTTCGTAATGATCGGGCCTCATTTGACCCTATCTCCCCCGTACAAATTCCCCTTCAGAAAATGACTTGATGGTCAAAATTCACTTATAAGCACTAGTATCACGATGATATTCTGCATAAATAACTGATGTAGACGTAAATCCCTCTACCAAAATTTATAAGGATTGGACCATATTAACCCTCTGTCCCAATTTAACCCCTCTTTTTGAAAATCTCTTTTTTGTCAACAAATTGTTAAAATATTTCTTAATTAAGGTAAAAATGAAATTAAATACTTTATTATTAAAAATTAATCAACATTTTTAACATAATCACTGGTGTAGGGTATCATATGGTCGGTCATGCCCGACTTTAAATTCTTACTTGTTTAATGATTTTTCCAAATTAATGATGTTCAATTTTAAATTATATTGGATTTTTATTCAAACGTTTATTTACTTTTAATGCTCATGGTAGTATACACAGAGGGAACCAAATTAATATCAAAGATTTTATAATTTTTCAATAACATCCGTGGTCAACATTGCAACAATTCGTTGTCGAAATTTAAATTTTATACACATCCGTTGTCAAAATGTTAACAAACGTGGTATGCTCACTGCTGGCAACGGATTGCTTGTCATTTAGATAACGTATGTGTATAAAATTTAGATTTCGACAACGTATTGTTGCAATGTTGTCAACACTTACTTTGACAACGGATGTTATTGAAAAATTATAAACATTTTGGTGTCAATTTGGTACCAGGCGTGTATATTTCTTTTTCTCTCTGTGTATATTTTTGATTGTTAAGCAGCGATTTGTGCGTATATGTGTATAATCTTTTAATGATTTAAGTCAATTTAATACATCACCGTTAACACCACTAGCAAAATCTCTATAGATATGTTGATGAAGGCAGCAAAAGATGGATGGATAAATAAAGTTAGGACGGATGAATGGATAAATGTTTTAACAGTCCAACGAAATAAAAGGTGAAGAGAAGGCGTTACCACTTTTGTAGCAGATATGCATCTCAAGATTTTAACTTGAAGAACTCAGGGAACAAAACAAATATGAAAAGAAACTTTTATCTGTTCTTTAACATAAACGTTGCTGTATTGAAGAATTTATGAATTGTGTTAATATTTGTTCTGTTTTGAAAACAGTGATAGGCATAAAGGGTACATGTTGTACTCAGCTTATCAAGAAATAAGTTCTAGTTGAAAGCTTTAAAACAGCGTAGCGCGTTCATATTGTTCAAATTACGAAGATTTTCGGCAATTCACACGTACACTACCCGATCGTAAACAAAACTCATATATATATATTTTTCTTATCTTTGAATATATTTTATCTGTAAAATTTACTATTTTACTTGTTATGAAATTTGATCACAACAAGCGTAATTAGGCAATATTTTTTCTAAATGTTTTTTAGTATTTTCTCACCGGTTTAATATAGTTCATTAGTATTTGTGTTGTACATGCTGATCGGCTCCTGTTAGCTTAGCCAGTCGATCTTTGTTGTAGGGCGTAATTTTTGGTGATCCATTTTTTCCTCTCTGTTTCTTTGTGTTTTGGTTTGATTGTATTTGGTAAAGGGTTTATTATTTGTATTGAGGCTGCTGAAATAATAATGCTAATATTGCATTGAAAAAAGTTCCTAATTACGGTATTAAGGTGTCAAAATGATGACTTGTAGAGATATAAAACATATTTTATATCTTTTAGGGATAAAGACTGATTGTTTTCACATATATTCTTTTAAAAATTTATACTAAAATGTTAAACTTAAGGCAAAATAATAAATTTATTATGTAATGATAAGAACAATTATTTAAATTTAGATATGAAGCAATACAAGTGTAGCTTCTCTTGATCGTCAGTTAGATTAGATATACAGATGTATATATTTTTAATACTTACTTCTTTTATAAACCTTTTTTAAATACCAAACTACTTTTAACAAGCACTTCTTTTAATCGTTTTTTTTTTTTACTTTCTATATTAAACTAAATTATTTACAAAATTCCAAATCGAAATGTTACATCGTTAACAATGCATAACCTTTAACATTTCCTTGTGTATATAAGTATTTTAACTATATATAAGTATGTATATAAGAGATTCTAGCCTACTTAACACAAATACATTAAGTATTTAGTAGTTTTACAAAAATTAAAAATAAAAACAATTAATTAAAAATAATAATAAAAAATATTACAAATATTATCACGTTAATACATTTAAATATAATAAAACAAAACTAAAATTAATTAAAGAAAAAAAAGTATACAAAAAGTAGGTAGTAAATTGAATACTATAGCGTTTTTAATCACTTAATCACTAAAACAGATTTGTTTTGTTAATAAATAATTAAAATTTATCACGTGTAATGGAAAGCTTCTTGATTTTATTTTTATTTTGCATTACAAACTATTAAGTATATTCGCCCATCTCTCCTAAAGACATGTATTGACTTCACGTTTTTCGAGACATTTTTCACAAGTCACCTCACAGCACCACTTAAATACACACTTACAATTAACCCATTCGGAGACGATATGATGTTTGTGTCCTCGATTACAGCATAAAAGTTCACAACCATCTACGCCCATAGAGGTGCTGTTGCACTCACGATCTTGTGTCCCTAACGAACCGGTTCGTATGTTAGGTGCACAGAAATCGGCTGAATCATCTGAATATACTAGATCGTATTTTGAGGGTTGTTTGACATTTTCACTTTCGGGCATAAAACTATTGCCATCATTGCGTAGCACTACTTTGTAGGCACCATCGAATTTTTCTCTAAGCCGCGAGGAAACTTCACGAAATGAGGGCATTTTTAACCAGCATGTTTTGACGGTACATGAACCGGATAAGCCATGACATTTACATTCCAAACGTATAGAATCTCGAATGGCCTGGAAGGAAAAAAGTAAAGAATGTTTTATTTATCGCCAGGTAACACGCGGGTTAAAGAACTTCAGCCTTTTCTCTTTCCCTGTAAATTATTATAAACCCAACTTACCAATCTTCCCGCCATATTATTGTGTAATTTCACCAACGTCCTCAGATCACTTCGACGACGATATTTAGAATCTAAAAATATTCTCGAATGACGAAAGCCAAAATTTACATTATCACTGCAACCGCCCCATTCCCATTCGCCCTCGGGAAATTTAATATTTTTCAAAAGTTTTCGCCTTCTATTGCCACCGCCTCCTGCCCCGCCCCTACGGCTATTATTAGCATTATTGCGCGGCCTTGAAGCATTTCTCTCATATTCCGCCTGTTGCTTCTCCAAGGCAGCTACAGCCGTTACAGCATTAACCATTTGTGGTTGACCACCATTGCGTCTGGAGTGGCTTTTGTCACAAGAACATTCCACCAAATTGCCCAAAGTACAGGCTTTGGTTACCGCATAAGTAACACCCGCTGAGGTAATGGCATTAACAAAACCCGTTTCTCGAGTATCTGAAATAAAAGAAATGATTTATATAGATTAATATTAATCATAATTAACTTTTATTATAAACAATTACTAGTTTATTTGTTTGATATATTTTTTCTTAAACGTTTGCATTTTAGTTTTATTTGCTCTGGCTACTTTAAAATTCATATTATGCTAAATAAACACACTTCTAAAGTGACAACTATTTGACATTTGTCACGTTCTCATTTGCATACTTACTCACCACCTCTAAGCAATACAATACTACTCTACTTCACTATATATGAAGTAGTGTTTAGGTACAACGTTATAAAGCCAATATTTAGTATTTATCTCAGGTGTAGTACCCCAACATCCGTAAGTTCATAAATAGAATTAAATGAAATAAAAAACAAATGTAAACGTGTAAGTAAATTGCTTGTAAATAGCAGGAATAGTAAATTCACTACTATTTTAGTTTTCAGTATTTTTAGATAATGAATAGTCAACAGACTAGTCAGCCAATGGACTAACCTATCATCTGGTCCATAGATTTTTCAATAGACTAATAAATATACTCGTTACTAAACTAGTCCATAAACTGATCCACAGACTAGTCAATAGTGTAATCAATAGTCCATGGATTAGTCAATATATTAGTTCATAGATTAGAGCAAATAGGCTAGTCCATAGACTATTTAATAGACTAGCCAACAAACTAGTCCATAGACTAGCTTGTCAATAGACTAGCCAACAGACTAATCAATAGACTAGCCAATAGATATAGACTAGTCTAAAGGCTAGTCAATAGAGTAGCCAATAGACTAGTCAATATACTAACCAATAGACAAGTTTATAGACTAGACCATAGACTAGTCAATAGGCTAGTTCATAGGCTAGTCAATAGACTAGCCAATAGACAAGTCAATAGTCTAGCAAATGGACCAATTGAACTAGTATATGGACTAGCCAATACTCTACTCAATAGACTAATCCAAGGCAACACACTAGACTAATCAATAGACTATGCAATGGACTAGTTAACAGACTAGACAATAGACTAGTTTACAGAGTAGACAATAGACTAGTCCATAGACTATTTAATAGACTATCCAATAGACTAATTAATAGACTAGTCAATAGTCTAGCCAACAGACTAGCCCATGGACTAGCCAATAGGCTACCCAATATATAAGCCAATAAACTAGCCTATAGACTAGCTTATAGACTAGTCCATAAACTAGTCTATAGACTAGTCAATAGGCTGGTCAATTGAGTAGCCAATGGACTAGTCAATAGACTAGCCAAAAGACTAATCAATAGGCTTTACAATAGGCCGCCAAGTCTAGTTAATAGACTAGCCAATAGACTAATCAAAAGACTATCTAATTGTAGTCCATGGAATAGTCAATAGATTAGCCAATAGATTAGTCCGTAGACTAGTCTCTAGACTGGTCAATAAACAAACTAATATACTAATCAATAGACTATCCAATAAACTAGTCAGTAGACTAATCAATAGACTAACCAATAAACCAGTCAATAGACTAGCTTATAGTTTAGGTTCAATAAGTGTTCTTTTTCAAAATTTCAATTATCCATGCCTGGCAAATAGAAAAATAAATACGAATAACAATCGTGAGAATTTAAAAAGTTATAAGTAACTCCCGAACTACAGCAACAGACAGAGTCATCGATCTTTGGGTAAAAACTGACAACATTAATGCACGATATGAGTGTTCGTATGTGTGTTGTGAGTAGTTGTCATTCAATTCTAGATGACACATTGACTTAAATACTGGCACTTTTGACAATAGTCTATATTATTTAAATATGTATTTTTTATTTCAGTCTGTTTCTTTATCTTAATTTACTTAAGGTGTCAATTCATTCATAGTCCCAGTCATATATTTGTATGTATAGTATACCTACATATACCTATGTATGTTTACATGTGTCATATAAATAATGTTAAACGATTCAATGAGTAATTAGCATTATTTAGCAAGTTTATACTATTTGCATTTGCAAGAGTTTTTTTTTTTAATATTATTATTTATTTACACACTTTTGACGTGTTTTACGTATTTTGTTTCTGTTCATTTTGACACTTTTCTTATGTCAGTTGTCAAATTTAACAGAAATAAATTTATTTATGTTTTGTTGTTTTTTTTTTGTTCACACACACGTATTTAGTATGAACTGTCATCAGTCGGACGGTAGTGAAGTGAAACATGACTTCTTTTGTTTTAAAATATTTTTTGTTGTTTTTTTATTATTTGTTTATTTTATTTATTTGTTAATTTCTATGAGTTGTAAATATTATTTGTTGTTAATTAATAAATATTATGGGGATTTTCGTTTGTCTATGTATTTTTAATGACTTTCAAGTGACTTCACCCACCAACTCTGGGTTTTTTGTCACTTACCGGCACTTTCTTTATAGTTATTTATTTTATATTTTCCTGATTACAGTTATTTGTAAAAAATTGCATTTATTTTTAGAAATATGACAGTGAAATGTGTGCATTTCGATTATTAGTGAATATAGCAACTTTATAGCAACTAGAGCCCACAGTTATTGTCCAGTTTATAATCCGGAATATAATTCTAGTCCAGTCTATAGTTCAGTCTATATTAAACTTTGTACTTCAGGCTATAGTCTTCAATCTTGTCTATAAGCCGGTCTATAGTCCAGACTATTTTCCTGTCTGTAGTCCTGACTATAGTTCAATGTATAGCTCTTTATATAGTCCAGAATAAAGCTCAGTCCAGTAATCCTTTCAATAATCTTGTCCTTAGTCCAGACTCCAGCTCAGTTGTACTACAGTCCATTTTATATGCCTGACTATTATTCAGTCTATAGTCCAGAATATAGTTCAATCAATAGTCAACTATATACTACAGGCCATATTCCAGACTTAATATTCCAGCATATAGTTCAGACTTATTAAAGTCCATTCTATAGGCCTGTCTACATGCTTGACTATAGACTAGTCTATATGTCTAACTATATTGCAATCTATAGTTCTGTCGTCTATTGTCCTGAACATCAAGAAATATTTAGTCCATACTATAGTTCAGTCAGAAGCTCACACATATAACGGTTTATGATTGCTTTAAAAATATATTTCTTTAAAGAAATTCTTAAGTCTTATTTAGCCAGATATTCCTTTGTTACTTCTAATTACCAAATAATCAAATCACTTTTTAACTTCAACTCTTAATCTTCATTATACGAAAAATAATATATTTTGTGTTAAAACTACAAACTGCAAGTTTCATTATAAAACATTTACCATTTTACTTATTCATATGTATTCATGCCTTCATTCATTCATTCATTTATTTATTCATTCGTTCACTCATTGTATGTTTTAACTAATTATTGCAACAATTTGCAATACATACTGTCATTCAAAAGACAAAACCACATCATCCATCAAGTTGCATAATAAAACCTGATGAATAGCGCTTAAAATGAGCATCCATGCTGTCAATTTAAATAAATTATGGCCGGCCAAAAACGATCCGAACAGCCAGCCATCCAGCCAAGTCATCACTATCCACTCAGCCTAATAACACCAAGACAAGTTAACAAATGTTTGAAAGAGATGCAGAAGAAGAAGAAGGAAAAAAAAAATTTCGAATTGCTATATGGCTGGCCAAGAAGTTTTAAAAGATTTTGCTAAAGAATTGCAGTTAAACAAAAGCCGCTTGTAACACCAAAAACTTATATACTGGAAGATCATACCAAACAAAAGAACTTTTTGCTACTGATGAGGTCTTTGAGTACCTTCAACACCCTGATGGTTATAAAACTTTAAAGCAAATATTTGTTAAAATGTGTGTTAAATCTTTTTCTTACCCCTCACTTGCTACTTTTTTGTAAAAAACAAAAAATCGTTTGTGAAGAGAAGTTGTAAGTAGTTTACATCTATATGGTATGAGCTTGTGAATGAGTGTCAACAGTTTTCTTGAAAAAAAAAATCTTCATACATTTGTTCATACATGTTGTAATATTTAACGTGCCATAAACAGGGACAATCACTTGCATATAATTGCCGCATGATCCCAACACAAAAAAAAAAAAAACGAAAAGAAAACCTTCTCAAATCATCATCAGTAATAAATAACAAAGTTTAAACGTGGATTAAATTGCTGTGTCTCAGTCAGTGGCTGTAGATTACCCAGCAAACATTATACAGAGATACTATAATATAGTAAAGTTAGTACTATAATAACCTTGACTTTACTTTGGGCTATGGAGAGGACTATGGACATGATAATTGCCTGGACTGTAACTATAGATTGGATCATAGTTTGGATTATAAACTAGACTACAGTCTGATCTACAGACTAAACTATAGCTTGACTGTGGGCTAAATTATAGTCTAAACTACTATATACTGGACTATAGACTTGGCTATAGTGTTGACTATAGACTGGACTACAGACTTGGCTGTAGTCTATACTATAGACTTGGCTATAGTCTGGACTAGACTATAATCTAGAAAGACTGGACAATAGTCTGGACTATAGACTAGACTATAGTCTGGACTATAGACTAGACTATAGTCTGGACTATAGACTAGACTATAGTCTGGACTATAGACTAGACTATAGACTAGACTATAGTCTGGACTAAACACTAGACTATAGTCTGGACTAAACACTAGACTATAGTCTGGACTAAAGACTAGACTATAGTCTGGACTATATAGACTAGACTATAGTCTGGACTATAGACTAGACTATAGTCTGGACTATAGACTAGACTATAGTCTGGAACTTAGACTGGACTATAGTCTGGAACTTAGACTGGACTATAGTCTGGAGTAAAAACTGGACTATAATCTGAATTATAGACTATACTATAGACTTGACTATAATCAGGATTATAAAGTAAGCTATAGTCGACACTATAAACTGGCCTATAGTTGAGACTATAGACAGGACTATAAAATGCACTATAGTGGGGACTGCTGACTTGACTATAGTCGGGACTATAGACTGGGCTACAGTCAGAACTACAAACTTTTTG